TTAGCTCTGTAAACTCATGAGCTGATGTCAAGAAACCTATTTTTGCCAACAAAGAAATTCTGGAAATTTTTCTCAAAGGTAAATGTGTTAGTGTAAGATATTTATCTCAGAGTAGGAATGTTTCTATTGTATTTTGGTTGGTCCAAGAGACCCCTAAGTCTAGTCTGAGGAGCACATCTCATTGACATGTTTGTCTTTCCACTGTCCAATAAAGTAAACTGTCATTGATCAAACCACCATGGGTTATCAACCTTCACGTGCTCTTGTATTGATTCATAATAAAGTGTGATTAAAAGTGGCTCAACTGTAAAGGCACTATCACCACTAGAACTGATCCAAATGAGAGAAATTAAAAGGACTTTAAATGACCATGTTGTATCTCAGGAGCTTCCCACTGCTATTTTGTGAAAATATAAGACTGTTCCAGATATAGTAATTAATATAATTCTTGCCTACTTTCCTAACTGGAATGTCTTCTGTGGCAATTTTCCTTATAAACTTGGCACAGACAATTTCTCTGTAGCTAACAAAACAATTTCTAAATACATCCATACATGACTTCTTTTACTGCTACCTTAGAAAATCCACCTTTCTACCCTCATTGTTTACCAATCAGGGGACAAAAGCAAGAAAAAGTACTTCAATTTTCTATAAATGGCAAGAACCATTTGTTGCTGGCTTAAGCTTATATTCTTAAAAAAACTAATGCTTTATTCTGCATATATCCCATTTCTATTTCCTAGTGCTGTATGGTACCAGTTCAGAATTTGTGGCCACAGGATTCACCTTACAGCAGGATTGCACTTAATAACAGCATATTACTTAGCAAATACACTTTGCCTTTTGCCATTAAGGATAAAGTAAGCTTCAGAGATTAAAGAGAGAAACACAACCCCTGGGAGCTTTGTTTGTTTGTTTTTTTAAGCTTAGCATCCTGTGAAGCATTTAAAAAGTTCTTTCACACTTTACTTTCTAAAATCAAGCATAAAAAAGTCCAAATGCCATCACCAAATTCCAGAGCAACCATCAGGAAAAAAAAAGAGCTAAACCTTACTGCAAGGAACCCAGTGCTGTGAATGTATTCTGCCAATCAAGATAGTTTGTTTTATTTTCCTCCTCCTATGTAACAATATAAGCAATGCAGCTTTCAGGCTGCAAATCAGGATGTGCTGCCAAGTGGATCTGGAAATCTCAAGACTGACTGTCAAGCACATCTCTCCCAAATCCAGAGAGGCTGGGCAGAAATCAAAGTCTTCCCACCCTTCCCCTGACTACAGTCCTTACTGCTCAGACCCTGGTCCTTCCAAGCAACCAACATCACTGTAACAGTATTCCTTTGATCACAATCTGTAGCAGCCTCTAATTAATACTGGGAAGCTCCAAAAAGCTGAAATAGTCCAGGGCACTGAAACAGAGGATCATCTCTTTCACAAAGCCCTCTATTTCTATAGGAGGAGGTAAATACAGGTAGCCAGGAATTTGTGCTGGGTTCGATTGATTTATATCCAGAGAGGGAAGGAAGGGCTGAATCCTCTAATTACCAAGCTGCTATGCTACATAGCCAGGAAGTGGTGCTATTGTGATTATTTAGATTTGTTTGTTGTTGTCTCATTTTTGACTTTTCAAGTGACAGGCAGCACAAGGTATGAGAGCCTTTCCTCTGGGTTATGACAGGTGAAATGCCCCCTGGAAGATAGAGTGGGGCCACAGGAATTACCAAGCCCCTATCCCAAAGCAGGAGACAGGAACAGGAGAGGAGGTTTGGGACCTCCAGCCTTCTATCTTGTGAATCTCAGCACTGCTACGGGGTGACCAACTAGATACTTCCACAATGCCCAGAAGAAATATATGATGACCTTAGCAGACAGGGCATATACAGGGGTACCTCGGGTTACAAAC